CTGCAGTAGGTCGCGGGCGCCAGCGCGCCAGCACCCGGCACGAAAAAGGGCCGGCGTTGGACACGCGTGCCGTGGGAGGGACTTGCGGCACCGCCAGAGTCAACACGAACGTGTGGACGATTGACACAATCCATCTCACCGGTTTACTCACCCTCTGTCATAATGTGCGAAATTTCCACTGACATTTTTAGTTCCAATGCAGTTTTTTAAAAACATACTTTTGATCGCCCACCGTGCGACTTTGGTTCCGGGCTGTCGACGCTTCACAATATGGAACAAGTGTACGATTTTTACCGCCGTACCCGGGGGTTGCCTTCTTCATTGTGCTCCAGTTTGTGCTTGAGTTTCATACCCTTTCGGTCGACCTTCGTGTGTCCTCGGCCGCCCCCCGGTTGCACGCCACCGGCTGCCGCTGCCAGTTCGCCGACACCCATCAGGCAGGCGAGTTCATACGGCGTGTGACGTCGGCGGCACCTTTGTTGTCCACCAGGCCTACCTCCTTTACGCGGGATGGGGAATGTCAAAGGGAGGGGGGGATCGAGGACGGATGGTGAGCCGAGCCTGAGGGGTACTTCACTATAAATTCAGGAGTTCACCTTTTCTTCATTTTTCTGGATACTTTTCTGATTTTTTTCGCATTTGATTTTCCCTCGATTTTTCTCATTTATGGTGTACCTACAGCAGAAGCTGTCTGATTTTGCAAGTGAAGGACCCCTTGGGTGAGCTTTCCCTGCATTTCGGTAAGTTAGAATGGTTAAGGGACAGCTTACTAATTAGATTTAGGTGATAAATAAATGCCTTAGTACATTTTGTGCTTCAACCGGGGCAACGTTTTATTATTTTTTATTATTGAAAGCCGTGGAGCCGGCCGGGCCGCGGTGCCTGTGAGGGACATGCGCCTGCGCCCTGCGCCGCCGCCGTCGCCCGTGCGTCGCGTCGTGGCCATAAGTTTACGCTCGACTTAATGGATTTGCCGGGAGCCGCGCCGGTATCGAAGCGAGATATCTGGGACAGGGCAAGCCGAGAGTGGTGCGGGGCTGGGGCCGGGCAGGCCGGGGGGCCGGGGCGGGGCCCCGCGTGGGGGGCTGGGTGGGCCCGGGCCGTATGCGCCGCCGGGGCCTGCGGGGCCTGCAGGGGGACGCGGCCCATTGAAGCTGTTGGGTGACGCTGATCCCATGCGAACAATATGGTATGAGATGGCCATAGGGAAGACGGCCGCATGCGAGTCAGTCATGAGACGTATAGTAGCGAGCCGCGCCATGCCGCGGGACTTTGAGGGGCCCGGGCCGTATGCGCCGCCGGGGCCTGCGGGGCCTGCAGGGGGACGCGGCCCATTGAAGCTGTTGGGTGACGCTGATCCGATGCGAACAATATGGTATGAGATGGCCATAGGGAAGGCGGCCGCATGCGAGTCCGTCATGAGACGTATAGTAGCGAGCCGCGCCATGCCGCGGGACTTTGAGGGGGGGTGGGGGAGGGGGGGCGTCGTAAAGGGGACCTTCACCTGCGAGCGCGGCGGCGCGGCCACGGTTTATAGGACGACACCGCCCCAGCTGAGCCCGACAACGGTTGTAAGCTGCATCGGCCTGATCGCGCCGCTCCGGAGACATTTTGTCCCTCTTGTCCTAAGCTCGTTTTTTCGAGCTGATTGAATGAACAGTTTGGGATTTCATTCAAATGAAATGGATCGCACTGCTTTCATAATCACGATGGACTCATATGAGAACATACGTGTCTCCGATAATATTTCAACAAAATATTTGCTCCAAAAGATTTGATGTCTTACGATGTTTAAGTTGGTTCAAGTTATAACGTGGCATAAAATTTAGCGATGTGTCGAGTCTGAACATTTCTGTACCCTTCTCTTTTGCCATTAATATCACATTTGGGCTGGTTTTCAGGTTCCAGTTTGCAAAGAAGGCTCTGTCCGAAAGCTCAGTTGGTTGTGTGAACGGTATCGGTGCGGGGGCGATATGAGAAATTCGATCGGGTGGTGGTGCAGTTTGCAGTTTCGTGGTTGGCCTCCGTGGCACGGGTCGGGCCGGAGACGTTTGCGTCAAGTCGCGCGATCTAAGTTAGTGTTGGTTTTGAATGTCAATTTTCCAAAGTCAAATAAGTCGTGCAATCTTTGGTGATGTTTGGTTTGGGATGGTTTGAACGATCAGCTTGAAGCAGAAAGGAAAAAGTGGGGTTATTGTTGTGATGGGGAGTTTAGCTGGATGCTTGTGTACTTGTGTGCCGCAGTCCCTTGGAAAATGTCGGAGCTTTGGATTACTGGAGCATATGGATCTGTACGGATGAGGAAGGTAAGTCAATTATTCACTGTCTTTAGTGCAACTTTCGATGCGGTGGCGCAAAGCTCTCACCCCCCTGTCGCGCGTTCTGGTCGCCGCCCGTCCGCTTGGTTGAGGTTATAGTGCGATACAGCTAGGGCGAGCTTTTCTGCGCCGCATACCGCCTGCGCCCGCCCGTTCCGA